GCCTTCTGCTTTCAGACGTAGTTAGTTATGAAGTTATTACCCTATCCAATAATAATCCAATGCAGAGGCAATAATGTAATATAATACATTATTTTATATATATGATATATTTATATATGCATTTATATATAGTCTTACAGTTTTGAACTGGCTTTTAATACTAGTTGAACATAACATTTTGATATTTGTATGTGTTTTTATATGTTTCTAGTTATTGTGCTTTGTATCTCATTTTTTATTATTGTTTTATTATTTTACTCCTATTGTGTTATTTTATATCTGTTCCCTGTACAGCACTTTGGTCAACTGAAGTTGTTTTAAATGTGCAATATAAATAAATAAAGATTGAGATTGAAAGTCACAACCGGCCCTTTGAGTGCCGACATGATGCTAAGGTGGCCCATGATGAAATTGAGTTTGACAACGCTGCAGTAAGCAGTGAATAACATCGTCACAACCACTGATGTAAAAACAACTTTCTTTTCTGGATACTTACTGTGGTAAGCTGTGCATTTGCTTGTAAACACTGACGACTTCTTTAATGCTGCGTTCCACTTTTTTCTGGGGAAAAGAAAAGTAGTGGAAGGAGGAGAGTGAAAACAGTCAATATAAAGGTCATTGTGAGAGAAAGAATATAAAAAGCATGCATGTTAAACATTACTTACAGTTTAAAAACCTTAATATTATAATGAATATTATTACATTCAACTTCTTTGGCAGTATGTTGGTACTAATCAGCTGATGGATGCAAATGAGCTGTTGAGCGAACCTCAACAGATGTTTGACAACATGTACCCCCTTATAAATATTAACACAATCATATTTATGGTAATCCTGTTTTTTACCTTTATTAGTTCAACTGGAATGTCCCTTTGGTTTCAGGGGTCTCTGGCCTGGATGAATATAACCACACACTAACGATAGACCAAGACCATGACATATCTGTAAGGTTAATCAGTGCTGTAAAGTAACTAAGTAGATTTACTCAAGTACTGTACTTAAGTACACATTTGAGGGACTTTTACTTTACTTTACTTGCTACTTTGTACGTTTACAATTCATTTATTTTGTACCACTAGTTAGTTACTAAATAAGACGTTAGTTGCACCTGGAGTAACATTCACAACATTCACCCTGCAGTATACAAAGCAATTCAAATTAACTGCACCCTTATTTATATTATTCTGAAATGGGCAAATTTGCATAATGCATACTTTTACTTGTGTGCATTATGCTCGTAGGCACGTTAAGAATATGTTGATGCTAATCCTTTTGTCCTTTTACTTGAGTAACATTTTGATGCATGACTTTTACTTGTAACAGAGTATTCCTACACTCTGGTACTTCTACTTTTGCTTATGTACAATATCTGAGTATCCACCTCTGAGGTTAATTTACAAAGATATTTTCCTCTGAGTCTAGTCAAGGGTTAGGTGTGGGGGTACTCAGGTTTAACTGTCTAAGTTACTTAGTTAAGAGCTAACTGAATGAATGCATAATCTCATTAAGGTTCAATGCTAGCTAATTAAAGGCTTGCTAGCTGGAAAGCAGGCTCTGATCACTTGTCTAAACGATGGGCCGATGAAAGCAAGAGTACAGAAATTAAGTGTATGAGAGTTTAATTGATGTGACAGTCAGTAGCTGCAGCATTAGCATTAGCCACATTAGTTTACGGAGCTAATCTGTGCTCACCTGCTCCACTGAAGTCACCGTCTCCACCCCGTCATCCACCAGCATTTCTGCGGAATGGTACTCATTGAAGCACCGCAGAGGCGTCGGTACACCGTCCATGATGATGATGATATGATCTGTCAGCTGCAGGGGATGCTGCAAGTTTGAAAAAACGATGCTGTAGGTTTGTTTTGATAGTTTAGTGTCAGTTGGCTCCGCTCACTTCCTGCTCAGGTTGCAGGGGGGCGGAAACTGCGCGAGCGCCAGCTACGGCGTCTCCAAGGGAACAAAAATCCCCGTCTGTCACTGTAGTGCGAGAAACAGCAAAGTAACACACACAGCCGCTTGTAAGGGTTTCATGTGAGTTGTATTAAATATTATTAAATTATGGGTGAGCCAATGTGAGTGTCCCGTTCTGTTTCATTCATATTCTGCTATTGGTGTTGTTAAATTGACGTCGAAAGAAGCAATGCCACCACACGCGGTAGTTCTTCCGTTGATCTGCATCAAGTAACAACAAACAAGTACCGGAAGTAGTTTGAGTTATCCTTCAAATTAAAAGCTCAAAGTTGCTCCGAAAAGTAACAAACCTTTCACTTCAATAAAAATCTCTGTTTTCATATATTTGGAAACTTATGACTGCCAACCAGACACAACATGTAAGTGTTATGCTGCCCCAGAGCATTAGGGGCCCTGAAGTCTCATATCACTGGATCTCATGGCTTCTTTGAAAACCATCGTCTTATTGCAACACCTGAATCATCAGGATACAGTATTATTTCAGGTACCATTAATTGAATAGCCACTATTTTAAATAATGTTTTAAGGCCTTAAATACTAATTGTATATATGACAAATGTTCTTAATATTGCATTTGACTAAATACTGTGTGTGTGTGTGTGTGTGTGTGTGTGTGTGTGTGTGTATCGTGGTACTTTATACTTCTGCTCCACTACAATGATGTGATGGCTCAGTTACTTTGAGGTTTCAGATTAATGTTCCAAAATATGATAATGATTAAATATGACAATTGATGATATATGATACATTTTTATGATATATGAATAGAATAGGATTAAAGGTTAAACTTAATTGATCCATTGGTGGAATTTCTAAGCTACATTATTTAAAGTGAGTACTTTCACATGTTGTACTTAAAGTAGGCTACATTTATGCTAATACTTTTTACATTTGACTAATAATTTTTTTTCAGGCATTCAGTAATTCCACATGTGAAAATAGTTATTAACATTATCATGACAATCTTGAAGTCATAAAAAACATCAATCGAATATCCCTTCTTTGTACTAAATAAACCAACATGTTCTCAAACACCAAAGGCTTTTATTTTGAAATGCACCACCGGAAATCCTCTTTTTGATGGGGTCTTACTTGACAATGGTCCACCGCACCCACTGGAGCTGGAGGCTGCCTGTGAAGCTGGAGCATCCCCGTCACATACCGACCCACCGTCAGAGAACACAAAGAAGACAGGAGCCAGCCCAGAGCCTCATGTTGAGTTTTTGAGCAGACATGGGATGCAGGTGGGGAGGGATCGGTCATCCATCGCTGACTTAGCTGACTGGGGTTTCTTTTTAATTCAACATTACATCCAACACTATGGCTAAGCAGTACGATGTGCTCTTCCGACTCCTGCTCCTCGGAGACTCAGGGGTTGGGAAAACATGTTTGTTATGCAGATTCACGGACAACGAATTTCACCCGTCTCACATCTCGACCATCGGTAAGACTCTGCACTAACACCATGACTTATTTCTGGATCCTTATTCACCACATGTGTTAATTAACAATCCCATTCATTTGCATGGTTTTATAACGTTTTCTGTTGATGTTATTGGCGCATCAACCTCCCTTTGTAGGCATTGCAATTAGCATTGAAACCCCATAACTAAGATGTGATAAGGAATGTAAAAAGGAATTGTTCACATTTAACTAAAACAGCACATTACGTGAAATAAACAGACGGTTATCTATAAAACCAGCTTAATTGCAATAAGTGGGGAAGCCCTCAGGGGGAAGATCTAACACTTGGCAGCCATGCAGATGAGTTTACACCAACTATCATCATCTGGCACTGATAGTGTAAGCAAGTGCCATGCCACATTTGGTTTAATAAAGGTCCTCGGTGTGGTTTTGTTAAAGAGATTTTTTAGGAGACCCTGACCTAGTTTCAATTATTTCATGCTCAATAATTATGGAACAAATATGATGTTGTGTGATTGAAGTTTGTTTTCATATTCCCATATATCGATGCAGTAAACAATGGCAATTTAAAGGCATCGGCTTGAGATCTGGTAAACTATTGTTGGCCTTTTTGACTATTTTCTCAAATTACATTGATCAAATTATTCAATTAACAAAGGAAACACCTCCAGTTCCTTGCTCTTTTAATTCAGAGTACATAGAGCAAACTAACACTTTATCTGCCCACCCTTAATCATGGATTTGCCACATGCAACCATCCGGTTTTTCACAGTTACGGGAAGGCGGGCTGTGCAGTATATCTACCTCCATAGTTAGGATTCAGTGAAGAGGATGATATGCACATTACCATTCTGACTTTGAGGTGTTAGAAATAAGGATGTAGAGTAAGCAGTGTTTTTCTTTCCTTTACAAGCGGGGGTTGTGTCACTTATCTCTTCTTCTTCTCCTGTGGCAACAAAGCTGCTGTTTCTGTGCTGTGTGCAATAATTGGCCGTGATGTGGAGAAGACGAAACACAGACAAGCTCGAGGCAAAGTCAGGAAACGTTCCTCCTGGTCGTGATGGATAGATGACTTTTTTGTTGTAGAGATATTCTGTAACATGTTGTCATAATAAGGTCAACAAGATAAATCATGACGCTGACAGATGGGTCCAGGAAAAATAACAGAAAAGACAACGATAACACAATCCCACCATTAATTGTTCGTGTTAACATCATTTGGAAGCTTTAATGTTGAATTCAAAGTCTTGAGTGCTCAGTGGACTACTGCAAAACACTTCACAGCCACAGCACGATGCTCAAACTCAAGTTTTATGTTCATCACGCTGCACTTTAAAGGCTTTTATTGTGCCCAATGCTCCAACCTGCTGCTCATAAGGCTTACTTACACCGCAGTATGCTATTTTAAATCAAGTACCTATACCACTCTACAGGACACTTCCGCCCCTTGGAGTCGAGCTCACATAACTCCGAGCCCTTCTAATGTCTCTAACAAGAAAGGTCCAGCCTGTCTGCATGCAGTGAACCTTTTTGTGCTTTTGTTAGCGAGTGTTCAAAACCACAACCTGGATGCTTATAAATCCGTCGCTTGTGTCGGTGCCAGCGGTGGATTCTAGATATTTGTATTGGACTGAATAGTTGACTGTGTCTGTAAGCCGTCCCGGGAGGTCTTTTCACAGCCATGCGATAATTCAAACTCCTCTTCAGACTAAACAAGCCTAACAAAATCTAAAGAGACAGAGAGATCAAGAGTGACCACCGCCTGTGCTCTCCTGAGGAGAATCAATACATAATTTCCCAACCTTCATGGTGACAGAGGGATATAAATTCTCTCCAATGTCCCCCTCATGGGAAGCTCAATAACTCATCCGTTTCCGACACAGTCCACTCGCTCAGGTTTTTCTCTTAATTATCTCAAAATCCCGCACCCCATAGAGAGTTGTAATCAAAGCAAGTTTTTCCGTTAACATCAGAAGATGACAAGCTGATGGGACAATCAAACGTTACTTCTATGTGATTGATGAATATCTTTTTCCAAAGCCATGGCCCTTCACTCTTCTTTCAACACTTTTTACAGGATTTTGAGCTCTGGATGAAGGGTTCGCTCCCTTTCAGCCACAGGAACATTATTTCAGTTCATCCCAAAGGTGTTGGACTGTGTTGAGTTCAAGGCTCTGCAGGCCCTTCAAGGTCTTCACCAAACTCAGGAAGCTTTAAGATCCTTGTGATGTACATGAATGCATTTTCATGTTGTTTTTTGGCATTCGATGACAGATCAATGGGAACACTTTACATTAGTTAACAGTCTTAACAAGTTACGTTATAGTTTAACCTTGCGGTCTTTAAAATATTTCTGTAATCCTCTTAAAATCTGAAGGATGTTCTGGGCTTGTGTTCAGACTATCAAAACATTTAGAACACAAGGTGAAGAGTAGAAACGGCAGAGATCTTCATTCGAATCCGCCGTCGCTGAGTCACAAAGGCATTTTGAATATTCATTGGGCACTAACCACAAAAAGCACACCTAGCTTAAAAAAGGACTTCTTCCCTGGTTACAGCTCAGTAAAACTTAACGACCGGTAATCAAACTTTTACTCCCCTTCAGTGGTTAGAGAAAAAAATCGAACTAGTCCAGAATCATTGGCAGCAGGAATTCTGATCTTACCTGACGGATAATACACCCTCACTCAGAACACATTCTCTGGCAAAGAGCAGCTGTAGAGATGATTTATTAATGCTATTCAGTCACACTGCTGAGTTTAATCCTCCTCTCCGTTACCTCTCCCCTCACCCCCGGAGACCCTGGCTGTCACAAAACCCATAAAGTTCGAGCCCGGCCCTGCCCTATATCACAGCTCTATCAGCAGCTGTCTTCATGCTGCTGGTCTCAGTGGTGCTATGGTCGCGGCCTGGTCAAACACTCAGCCCACCGCTGCTTGGCGAGTCTAAAGGGCCGGGCGTCGGATCACAGCCTCCATGGAGCTCATAAAGTGTAAGCAGGGAAATCAGTGGTGCTGTCATAGCATTGATTTCCTCCTGGCGTTCTAGGAACTTTAAAAAGTTTCCTATATCTCTGAAAGTTATAGTGGTAGCCCGGCCTGGACATTTTTGGTGAACATCAAGTTGAAATTCAATCTTTATTTCAGACTCAAGGTCCATATCACATACAAAAAGACAAGACACGCATCAATAAATAAGATAAAAAGCTAAACAGATAAAAACATCAAATCAGTCCAATCACAGCTAGCCACACATGCTCACTGTCTGTAGAGGCTGTTGCGCCAATGTCTCCAAATCATGGAAGAGAACCGAGTAGAACTCTTCACAGGGTCAATTAAAATCGAGATAACATGATTGTCCGAGTCTTCTTGGCGACACATGAATTTGTACATTAACTTTCTTAAAAGGGCTTGACAAGTAGGTACCCCCAAGTTAACAAACAGCTGGCTGGCACTGTGCCAACTTGCGGTCTGAAAAGTGAAGCCAATGTAGGAGTGCCCTAAACCTGTATTCTTTCTGATGGCCAGGAAGCTGCAAACATAAGTCTATAGAAGTCTATCAGAAAATGACCCCAGTCCTCACTTGATTTATTACTCAGCATTTTCCTAAAGAGTTTATGGTTAAGGCTATCAGTCATTTAAAGTCTTACTTAATAGAGCAAGATGTCGTGGTGCC